GAAAACAAAGCGGGGGGCATTGCTAGGATCAGAGTGAGGGGAGGAATTGTGCTTTAGGGAGTAGCCACAGGAAGCCTTGATCCCAGGTGACATTTAAGCAGACATGGGAATAATAACGCGGACAGCCATTCAGGAGAAGCTTCTTGAGACAAGAGCAAGTTCGAGGCCAGGTGTTGGAGGCTCAAGTGGTAGAGCACTAGCCTTGAGTGAAAAAGCTTAGGGACAGTGCACACACAGGTCCTAAGTTCAAGCCCCAAGACTGGCACACTGAGACTCAATGTTACTGGAGGGAAGGGGTTGGAAGGGGAATGACACGATGAACATTAGAAAAGTAGCAGAGCCCAGGCCACACAGAACCTGGAGGAGATCTAGTCTCATGGGAGTGGCAAGTTTTTGTAGAATTTTTAATACAAAAAACATGTAATTCACCCCTTTAGAAAGGATTGGCTGCTATATGATGACAGATGAAAGGTCTTACTAAAATACCAGATGTTGGAGATTCCTAAAGAAAAGGTTTATTAGGCTGGGAACGTGGCTCGGTGGTAGAATGCTTGCCTCACATGCATGAAACCTGAGGTTTGATTCCTCAGTACCACATAAGCAGAAAAGGCCAGAAGTGGCACTGTGGCTCAAGTGCTAGCCTTGAGTAAAAGAAGCTCAGGGACAGTGCCCAGGCTCTGAGTTCAAACCCCATAACTAGCAAAAAATAAAAATAAAAAAAGAAATCTTGGGGCTGGGAAGGTGGCTCAGTGGTAGAGCGCTTGCCTCGCATGCTTGAGGCCCTGGGTTCAATTCTTCAGTACCACATAAACAGAAAAGGCCAGAAGTGGCACTATGGCTCAACTGGTAGAGGCACTAGCCTTGAGCTGAAGAGCTGAGGGACAGCGCCCAGGCCTAGAGTTCAAGCCCCACGACCAACAACAACAAAAAAGATAGAAATCTTAAAAAAAAAGAAAAAAGGTTTATTTTGGCCCACTGTTTTGAGAGGTGAAGAGCAAAAGGCCAGCATGTGATCAGCTTTTGGCCAGGGCTATGTGCCAGGAGCTTGGTGAAGTATTAGAGGAGCTTTCTTTATAGAGACCTAGTATCACATAACTTACTTGCATGTGAAGTCCTCCCATAAAAGGGAAAAACCACCTCTTAAAAGACCCTACCACCTTTTTTTTTTTTTTTTTGCCAGTCCTGGGGCTTAAACTCAAGGCCTGGGCACTGTCTCTGAGCTTCTTTTCCTCAAGGCTAGCACCTACCACTTGAGCCACAGCACCACTTTCAGCTTTTTCTATTTATGTAGTACTGAGAAATCAAACCCAGGGCTTCACTCATGTTAGGTGAGCACCCTGCCACCAAGCCACATCCCCAGCTCCTACCATCTTTTATTTTATTATTATTATTGTTTTGGGTCCGGTCATGGGGCCTGAACTCTGGGCCTGGGCGCTGTCCCTCAGCTCTTCAGCTTAAGGCTAGCGCTCTACCACTTGGGCCATAGCACCACGTCCAGCTATTTTTCCTGCTTATGTGGTGCTGAGGAATCGAACCCAGGGCCACATGCATGCAAGGCAAGCACTCTACCACTGAGCCACCTTCTCAGACCCCTACCATCTTTTAATATCATTCTATTAGCAATTAAACTCCAACATGAGTTTTGGTGGTCACTTATCAGAGAACCTCTCGGAGTATGGGGACTGAGCCTTTAAGAGGCAAAGTGAAGGGGCTGGGAAGGTGGCTCAGTGGTAGAGCGCTTGCCTTGCATGCTCGAGGCCTTGGGTTTGATTCCTCAGCACCACATAAGCAAAAAGAAAAAAGCCGGAAGTGGCGCTGTGGCTCAAGTGGTAGAGCACTAGCCTTGAGCTGAAGAGCTGAGGGACAGCGCCCAGGCCCAGAGTTCAGGCCCCACGACCGGACCCAAAAAAAAAAAAAAAAAGAGGCAAAGTGAAGCTTAGTACCAGTGGCTCATATCTGTACTTGTACTCAGGTGGCTGAGATCTGAGGATCATAGTTTGAAGCCAGCTCCAGGAAGAAAGTCTGTGAAACTCTTTTACCTCCAATTAATCACCAGAAAGCCAGATATGCAACAGTGGCTCAAGTGGTAAAGCACTAGCCTTGAGCAAAAAAATTCCCAGGCCCTGAGTTCAAGCCCCAGGACAGGCACAAAGAAACAAAGCAGGAGAGCTGACCCAGGAAATAAACGCTTTGAAAATTGATTTGGGAGAGTTATCTCTGGTGTTCACATGAGACTCGGATAAGGATGTAGGAAAAGACTCATGTGTCTTGTAGGAAAATGCTCATTTGTCTTATATTGAGTGGATTGACTGTTACTAGTTTTACCATTGTGCTTAGCTTTAATATATCATCTGCTGGGGCTGGGAAGGTGGCTCAGTGGTAGAGCACTTGCATTGCATGCCTGAGGCCCTGGGTTCGATTCCTCAGCACCACATAAGCAAAAAGAAAAAAGCCAAAAGTGGCGCTGTGGCTCAAGTGGTAGAGCGCTAGCCTTGAGCTGAAGAGCTGAGGGACAGCGCCCAGGCCCAGAGTTCAGGCCCCACGACCGGCCCCAAAAAACAAACAAACAAATAATATATCATCTGCCTTCTGTTATCTCCCCAAACCTACATGTTAGTCCTAATCCCAAGTACTTAAGAGGATTTTACTGTATTTGAAGATGGGGTCTTCAAAGAGGTACTAAATCAAAGCAATGTGAGAAGGGTGGCTTCTAATCCTAGGACTGGTGTCCCTGGAAGAAACTAGGACTCAGAGGGAGGGAAGATCATGTGAAGACCATCCAAAAGCCAGAGAGACCGCACAGTAAGTCAATGGTGCTGGCATCTTGATCTTGGATTTCTAATTTCCAGAACTCTTAGAAAATAAGTTTCTATGTAAGCCACCCACCTAGTCATTATAGTAGCTCTACCAAATAAATAGCCTAACTGCCAAATACTTCTTTAAAATGATACGTATAATCAGGCACCGGTGGCTCATACCTGTAATCCTAGCTACTCAGGAGGTTGAGATCTGAGGATCACGGTTCAAAGCCAGGCTGGGTAGGAAAGGCCTTGACACTCTTTTTTTTTTTTTGCCGGACATGGGGCCTGAACTCTGGGTCTGGGCGCTGTCCCTCAGCTCTTCAGCTCAAGGCGAGCGCTCTACCACTGGAGCTACAGCACCACTTCCGGCTTTTTCTGTTTACGTGTGGTGCTGAGGAATCGAACCCAGGGCCTCAGGCATGCAAGGCAAGCACTCTACCACTGAGCCACCTTCCTAGTACCGTCCTTGACACTCTTATCTTCAATAAACCACCAGAAAACCAGAAGTGGTGCTGGGGCTCAAGTGGTAGAGTGCTAGTCTTGAGCTTAAGAGTTCAGAGACAGCACCCAGGGCCAGAGTTCAAGCCCCATGACCGAGAAACAAAACAAAAAATGTATAATTTGTTAGTAGTGTAACACACAACATCTGGAATGAAGAATTCTTTTCATCTCTGAGCACTTATAACATCTTTTTAAATGGTCTGTTTAAAGGAAGGAGTTTGTGTTTAAAGGAAGAACATGACATGAACTTGACACACTTGCAGTGTCAGAAAAAGAAAACCTCCGATCATTTCCCACAACTTCTCCATTAACAGGGAAGTGTGAAGACATGTTGTGAGACTTCTAAAATGGTTCCTTCGAAGATGGGACTACCAGTCATGCCCTTTCATCCTTCCTTATCTTGCTGCCTTGAATGCAGTTGTAATTACTGGACATCTGGAGTCATAAAAATAAAAGTAATCTCAACAAATTGCACACGGAAAGACTTCAGTGAGCCATCAAACCAACTCTGAGCTGTCTGCCCCTATGCCTCTATGTACGCTGAACTGTATGAACTAACATGAATTGGGCCTCTGCTCTTTGTAAATAAATATAACTGTATTACAAGATATTTTCAGTTGTTTTGCATTAGAATTCACTAAGTGCTCTTGGGAAAACTATTGTACCTATTTTTTTTAATGGCAGAGGTGAAGAACATGGAGTTCAGGCTGAAGCTGCTTTCTTGGCTTTGCCACAGCCTCAGGCCTCAAAGCAGTAACATTCTGCATGAGGACCCTGCTCTTCCACCCACCGGCTGCGTCCCCGCAGGCAAGCTATGTGACCTTAAGGACTCTGTTCATCAGGAAAAGTGCACCAGGCAAATAGGTGCCCAGTGATGTCAAACTACCTGTTCTGCCTTTCTTTCCTTGACTGCCTCTTTTACTTATTTTACTTACAAGTAAACATGACACTCAAATCTGAGATAATTCAAACAAGCTTGTTCCCTTAAGAAATGACCAAACTTTTCCATTTTCTTTTTGAGATAGGGGATCTATGTAGGTCTGGCCAGCTCTGAACTCACAATCCTCTGGCCTTTGCCTAGAATACAGGGGTTACAGGCATTGACTGCTATCCCCAGCAAGGATATTTCATTGTTGCATCTCCACATACACTTAGCCTGTATTCTAATCAATCCTACCTCCTGTATTACATGAAAGCCCATTCCTAAACCATAGCTGGCCAGTGGCATGTGCCTGTCATTCTAAATTAAGTGGGGGGACTGAAATTGGAAGGGCTGTGTTGCCAGGCCATCTGGGGCAGGAAAGTCCATGAGACTCCATCTTAATGGAAGATGCTGGGCATGGTGGTATGTGACTGTCATCCAAGCTATGCCTGGGTAGAAAGAAAGACCTTGTCTTCAAAATAATCAGTGCAAACAAGGGCCAGAGGCCTGCTTGGCAAGCATGTGCAATTGATTTCACACCCCAGTGCCAGAAAAACAAAACAAAACCCAAAAGACATTTATCTGACCTTCTTACAATAAAATAAAAAGGGCAAAAAAAATTAGGTAACTATATCCTTTTTAATTCCCAATATAAAGAGTCCTGATATATATCTAAGTATATTGGCAATACATTAAACATCAGCAATGAAAAAGTAAAATGCAAACACATGTTTTCAAGTATACAATTTGTTTTTATTTACAATACCCTATAAAAATGTAAATTTAGAAACTTTTATTTTCATTAATTAGAACCAAACAAAAAGATAAAGCACAGGAAGGAAGAAATAGTAATCAAGTGTTCACTTGATCGGTTGTGAGGGGAAGGAGGGAAAGGCGCATGGTGGAAGTGGTCAGTAGGTGGCGTCACTGGGCTACAGAACAGAAGGAGGAGGAAAACGGACAGCTGGTTAGAACAGAGTCTGCTGTTGTACAATACATGTATGTGCAAAATGTTTATTCTCTTTAAGTATCATAGCCTGTCCCCCTGACTACATTCAAAAAGGTGAGAACAGCAGAGAGTAGACCAGGGTGGGAATATAAAACTCAAGGTTTTTTTTTCAGGACTATAATCACTAGGCAGCAAAACTCCTTATCCTGGTTGATTGCTGAATGGCAGAAGGGTAAATAAGTTTAAGAAAAGAAAATGGCAGGCTGCCCCTGCTGAGATTCAAACCCAGGCCCCTGGCTGCCTGTGTGAATGGGGCATGGGTGAGACTGAGCAGCTGGGTTGGTAGAGACTGAAGAGCAGAGCTGGCCAAGCGTAGCTTCCATGACTACGTTGGGGGGCGGGGGGTTCCTACTTGATAATAAACAAAAAGGGGAAGAGAGAAGTACAAGCATGGCTTACTAAAGTCATCGCGGAAGACAGTGCCAGTGTTCAGAGCTACACTGCAGAAGCAGGCTGTTCGTGAGGACCCTCTTGGGTACTGTTAAATGCACTTGAGGGGACAGGCTCAAGCACGCCGTTTGTTCTACCAGGAACAGGCTTAACCGTGTGCTGTTTCCATTAAGGAGGTGGGGGAGGCAGAACAAAGGAAACAGGTGGGAGGAGCAAAAGGACTTCTCAGCCTAGAGCTGGGCATCAGCTGATGAATTCTGCCTTCATCAGATATGCTGTATACCCTGTATTTCTATGAAAACAAGTAGAACTCACCAAATTACAAGATGGAATAGAAACATTAAAAATATATCAGCTGGTTTGTATTTAGAAGGAGGTATATGTCAACTAAATATTTTTCAGTCTAAAGCTCATTCCTTAAGGACCCACTGGAGACCATGTAAAAGTATGCATAGGGTGATAGGGTGTGTGCATGTGTGTGTAAATGTGTATCTATATCTTGACTTCTACTTAATTGGCTCTCCTATAGTCATATTAATATGGGACAATAAAAGACTTCAGTGGTATAGGGAAGAAATCCATTGGAAGTCTACGATCTACTTGAATTGGAGTAGTGGTGGTAGGATAAAGGGAGATCTTATATTTGTGTCTCTAGGGCAAAGAAAATGCAAAATTAAGAAGAATTGAGTAAAGGCAGGACATGCAGAAGTGTTAACACAGAAGGTAAAGAAGAAACCAGCAGAAGTATCACCTGGCCAAATTTCATACAGCAGTGGGGAAACACCTGGCATCTGGAGACAACCCCCCAACACAGGAATTGCTCCTACAGACTTTGCTTTGGGGAATAAGCTACCTTCCCTCCCTTATTAAAAACACTCCATTGGTGATGGCAGCAGTGCAGGTGGCAGCCAAAAGGAGGTACAGGACACAGCTGGAGATCATTTATCGTATCCCCTGAACCAGCCTGGGGATATAAAGAGAGAGAAATAAGCTTGTGTAAATAAAACAGCAATCTTCTGCATTAAAGTTACATCGTCATGAGAATTCTCAAAATAAAATGCCCAAGGTATTTCTCTCCTTCCAACATTATGTCCGCTTCTCTAAGGGCACTGTTATACAAGTTCTTTGAATCAGCAGAGGCACAGTATTTAATCCAAGTCTTCCACCTTTGCCATCCAAGTCAGTTCATCCTCCCCCGTGACTTTCCAAGTGCTAACTTCAGCAAAACATGGACTGCTCCCATTTAAACTTACTGCAGTTTTGTCTCTAGCAAGTTCAGTTTCTGCCGGTCAACATAGCGAGAGAAAAGGGACACTAAGTTGGTGGGTATAGAGATTGGCTTGGCCAGGGAGGCTTGGGGAATCTGCAGAAGTTCTCGGGTTGCCATGAACATCATCTCTGTCCTGGTAAGGAAAAACCCCAAACAATAAGCAAACTAAAGCAAAGCTAAGGTTACCTAAAAGCAGGACAGAAATATAGTGAATACTAACCACTGGCTATTTTGCGTAGATTCTGTAGCAAGGTCTGAATTCTGTAGGTCTTCCCCACGGCTCAGTAGGACAAGGAGCAGTGACAGGCCAAACTGAAAGAGAAAAAGGGAATGCAGCCACCTCACTTCAGGAGATGGAATCCTGGCACTGGCTGGGAAGCAGATAGTCTCACTGCTGTACATTTCTGCGAAGCCTGGAGGAAATTGGACAGCCCCTAGTCCTGCTCATAGTTTCTTTCTCTCTTTCTCTCTCTCTTTCTTTCTCTCTCTCTCTTTCTCTTTCTTGTCATGGGGCTTGAACTCTGGGCTTGGGTGTTGTCCCTGCGCTCTTCAGCTCAAGGTAAGCGCTCTACCGCTTGAGTTACAGCACCACTTCTGGTTTTTGGTGTAGTGGTTTATTGGAGATAAGTGTCTCATGGACTTTCCTGCCCGGGCTGGCTTTTAACTGTGATCCTCAGATCTCAGCCTCCTGAGTAGCTAGGATTATAGGCGTGAGCCACCCTTGCCTGGCTAGTGTCTTTCTTTAAGCTTGGCTTCTGGCACAGTAGCAACTAAGCACAGCCAGTGGAACTCAAAAGACAGAGCCCAATATTCCTCTGTACCCAACCTGAGGTACAAAGATGTTTTAATCTCTCTGCCTAAGTTGAGATCTGGTTTTTCTCCCATTTCCTAGAACCAAAATGATAGGAAAGCAGAAGTTCATAGAAAAACAAACTTTAAAAGCTCCAAGCATTATTTTCACTTCTACCGTATACACTGTGGCCCTTTTAACAAGTACCCATTACATATTAGGCCTTACCAAAACAAAACATAACAACTCCCCCCCCCCACTCCCACCTGTTTCCATAGCAGCCACCATTTTGGTCTAGAATTCAAATTCAGAGGCCTCACAAAGTTCAGGGATGCAAAAGGCATGCTCACCTTGTTCTGAAGCACAGCAGTGAGGTGAGGGTTGGAGGGTGCTGGTGCGGCTGCACTTTGAGGTAGGTTCATTAGCTGTTGCAGAAGGCTGGTGACAGTCACTGATGGAAGATGATAGAGGAGGAGAGAAAAGGGACTCAATAAACATGGCAGCACCTACAAGAAACACATAAAAACATTATGTTGTGTCTGGAAGGACGCTCAGTGGTATGCTCAACTGGGGCAAGATTTTAGAAGGAAAAAGTCTAGCAGATATGACTAGGGTCTCAATAATGGATTCAAAGGTATCTAACGGAAAACATTCTTACCTCAGTTTGCATTGGGAACTTCATGACTTGTGAACCAAAAGTTTAACATCAAAGACATACCAAGGTTCATAGTTAAACACCAATGTTAGCTCATACAAACATTTAAATGTCTATGAGCAAAGCACTATGGCTAAAATCAAAAGGTAAGCAGAACAGGCTCCCAGGAAGCCACAGTGCAGCAGGGAAGACATAGCTACAGTGGCAATTTCAATAAATTGTGAAAAGCACTCAAGTTCTGCTGCTACAGAAGTATTTATTTAGAAGTATTATTTAGAACCACTTGCATCTTGTTTTCTCTTCATAGGAGCTCAGCAAAATAAGGAAGGATTAGGGAAGCTAAGAGATGGGAAATTCAGTGTTCAGAACCATACAGCTAGTAGCTGTAAAGAGGAACTAATGATCTTAGCTTCTTGCCATCTGGCCCAAATTAGAAAGTTAATACTTTCTAATAAAAGCAGGCTATAAACACATAAGAAAATCTAAAGTACTTCACAGGCTACTCAATGTCTATGTTAAAAAATTAGTGGAATTATTAACTGACATGTTGTCCAAGGATAGATACGTTACTTTTTGTGGTTCACCTCTTTAAAGTTTTACCCTTGGCTATCTTCAATAGCCAAATTATCAACATTCTAATCTTACTGAATCTGTTTCTCTTGTGTATTGTATCATCCAATAATCGGATAATTAACACATCTCTCACAACATCACGCCTAACTTAATTAACAATAATTTCTTACTATTCCAAGTTCGAATTTCTTCACATGTTTCAAAAATATCTTTTAGCCCATGTTTTGTTCTAATCATAATTCAAACAAGATACATAGATTGCATGTGGTTGATACAATTTTATAAACCACAATAGGTCTCCTGTCACTGTCCATTTCCTCTTCTCATGCCATTTGTTGAAGAAACTATAGGCCATGTGGATCTGGCTGTCCCTGCTGCCAATAGGTTCTGCTGATAGTTGCAATAGTTAGAATGACATGTTTGATTACGCTGGTTCAGTAGGGAAGGGGTATGGAAAGGGCATGAAAGAAATCCTGATGGCTAGAGCTGCATGCTTTCTATTCCAAGAAGCACATAGTGCTTGGGTGTCCTGCTTGTACTGTGTTAATACTGCAACACTGGGTTCAGGTGTCAGTATGCCCCAAACATTCTAATACTTTTCATCCACTTTTTACTTAAAGCGTTTGGCAGCTAGGAATGACTGCTGTCTAGATTGCTTGTCTTTCTATGAAGACTTAAGAAGTGGTTGTCTAATTTTATATCATTTCTTTTTCACTTGTTAGATAAAAATGATAAAGAAAAAAAGAAAAAAGATAAATAACTGATTAAGTGAAATTCATTTCGGTCTACTAGTAAATATAGTTTTTTTTTGTTGTTGTTGTTGGTTGTGGGGCTTGAACTCTGGGTCTGGGCGCTGTCCTTGAGCATTTCAGCCCAAGGTTAGCGCTCTACCACTTGAGCCACAGTGTCACTTCCGGTTTTTTGAGTGGTTTATTGGAGTAAGAGTCTCATAGACTTTCATGTCTGGGCTGGCTTTGAACCTCAATCCTCAGATCTCAGCCTTCTGAGTAGCTAGGATTACAGGCGTGAGCCACCGGTGCCCGGCTATAGTTTTTCTTTCTAATATAAATTATGATTCTACTTTTGGCCAGCCATCCTTTCAAGTTGGACTGTGCATCACAGCACTTAAAATCTGCTAGCCTCCTCACTATTGGATACAAGACACTGCAGGATTATCTTGTACATTTCAAACCGCAGACTTAGAACTGTCTATTACTTTAAGAATGGGGTTTTTAGAGATGTGATCTATTAACTCTATAATGCACATGACTAAACATGGACACACTGAGATTTTTACCTGTTTCTCTATCAGGAAAGCTCCACAAAGGCATGATTTTAATTCTAGCTCCTAGCAACTGGCACTAAAGTAGTGCCAGGTACACTGAAGTACTTCATTAGTGTCTGCTGAATAGATAAAGCTCTCCCAAACCAGCCTTCCATTGTTGAGTTCTTGGGATATTATGGGGACAGAGTGCCTGATGCCTCATTGTCTACAGTATGTCTGCTGTAAAGTAGCTGGAACTTTTTAATCTGGTCTTCCATTTTCTAGGAAAAACCTTGTAGTCTTAAATTGTCCACCAAGCCATTTCATTATTGGAATGTTTCGTCTTGCCACTTTTTTTCTAATGGTAACATCTAAGCACACTACTAAGTGTAAATGATGAGACCTAAATACCTACTATCTACATCTCATTTATTTCTATATAGTTTCTTTTTTTTTTGTCGGTTGTGGGACTTGAACTCTGGGCCGGGGCGTTGTCCCTCAGCTCTTCAACTCAAGGCAAGCGTTCTACCACTTGAGCTACAGCGCCACTTCATTTATTTCTGTAGATAGTAAATTTCAAAGGTCTTAGAAGGAATAGTTTCCAACCCTTTCATGGTATACCACTTACAAGATACACTATCATCGTTTGTTTCCTGCAGTAAATACCCACACAATAATTATTCAACTTGTAATCAACTTAAGTTCTTTTATTATTCTGAATCTTAGAAATTAGTTCTTTGTCTTAATTCTTTAATGTGATTAACTTACTAATACCATTCTAAATTTTGTTAATCTTTCAAGAGCTATTACATGGATAAACAGAAGAGTCTAATGAAAATTCAAACCTGACAGACTTACGTTCTAAAGTTTCAAGTCAGGTTTAAATCATGATAAAAATTATTTAAAAGCACTGGTCTGACTTCTTTGGGAGTCTGTTCTATCACACTTAATATTGGCTAATATTGAGCTACTAGTAACAGCCCAACAATGATACTTTATATACAGAAAAAATAAACAAGACCAGAAGTTTTCAAATTTCTTTTCAAAACATCCAACCCACCTAGGGACCTGTTAAAATATACCAAAATTCTGATTTGGCTGCTATAAATTCTCAGGCAGAATTTTTAGGTAGCGCAAATTATCTGCTTCCCAAGTAAACTGGACACAGAGCACATTTTCACAAGTAAGACAGAATTATTGATTTGTCTGTTTGGTCAAATATGGAATTAAAAAACAGCCTAGAGTATTTAAAAGTTTTGCATTAATGAATCCAATCATATTTGCCAAAGCGGACAAACAACATGGAAGGAAGGAGAGGAACAACAAAGGTGTGCAAGACACCTCCCAAGGCAGGTCACCTCATCTTGCGCATCCTTCTTGATAAGGAAAGGGAGGTTCCTGGCAGTTGTCATGAGAATGTCAGCTGCTTGCTCTGTGGACAGAAAAGGGAGAATGCGGGCAACCATTCTCTTCCCTTTTCGGATACACATGATCTGTACAAAGTGGTCATCGCTTGGCCTGCAAGGGAAGAAAAATGCCAAATTGTGTCAACAGCAGCATTTTAGGAGATCCTCATTTTTCCCCGTCTTAGATGTTACTGAATGAATACACTGTACTCATTTTCACTCTGCAAATATCTGCAGTAGAAAATACTGAGAATGATTTCTCCAACATTAATTGAACAAAAGGTAAAATTTCAAGTTTCACCAATGTAGAGAATCATCATTTCACAAATTATATGTGAAGGAAACATGGTTTAACTACATGCATGATTTTCCATTATTATTTGACTATTATTATTATTTTTTTGTGCTAGTCCTGGCTTGAAATCAGAGTCTGGGTGCTATCCCTGAGTGTTTTTGTTCAAGGTAAGCACTATATCATTTGAGCTCTACTTCTTCCATTGTTGAATTTTAAATAACTTTATTAATAGCATATGGTTAATAAAGCAATCTGAAAAAAAGTAATCGAAAATAAAAACAAAATTTCAGTGTGGACTTTCTAAGTTTTAACATATTAAGGCAAAGACCTATCCTTTCTACTGTGTCTTATGTATTTTTTATTCCTTAAAAAATGTGCTCATAACTGGGTAAAGTAAGCCTCTAATCCTAGCTACTTGGGAGGCAGAAACCAAGGGATTATGATTAGAGGTCAGGCAGGTAAAAAGTCTGAGACTCCATCCTAACCAATGGCTGGGTGAAGTGGCATTTATCATCCCAATTAATGAGGGAAGCATAATGGCTGGGCCTAGTGGCATATACCTGTCACCTAAAGACATGTTTACACAAACAGGATGACTGCAGTCAAGGCTAACACAGGCATAAATTGAGATCTTATCTAAAAGATAACCAATAGGATAGGTGCAAGCCTTTCTGACTTTACACCTGTTGAACTCAAGAGCTCTGCTGCTCTCCTTCCACTATTCTTACTCTATCCTGGTGCTCTTACCACTTGAGTTCTACTTCCAGCCCAGCTTTTTGCTGGTTAGTTGGGGATGAAGTCTTGAAGACTTTTCTACATGGATTGATTTTGAACCTTGATCCTCCAGGCCTAGCCTCCAGAGTAGCCAGGATTACAGGTGTAATCATAAAGCATGGGGTGCAGGGGTTAATCTAATTTAAATACTGTATAATACATGTGTGAAATATTACCATGAAAGTTCTTTGAATAATCAGCATGCAGTAGAAAAAATGCAAACCATGCCCCAAAGAAGAATGGATACTAGTGCCAGTGTGAAGGAGTATAAATACTTTTATGTATATCTATGTCAACAGAATAATAGTTTGTTGAGATTGGTTTGGGAAAAGAGGGAAGAAAGGGTACTAGAGAGGTTGATGCCGATAAAGGTAAATTATGTGCATCTACTGATATGTCAAACTTTTTTTTTTTCCCCTTGGGTCTGGTCGTGGACCTGAATTCTGGGCCTGGGTGCTGTCCCTCAGCTCTTCAGCTCAAGGCTAGCGCTCTACCACTTGAGCCACAGTGCCACTTCTGGTTTTTTTCTTTTTGCTTATGTGGTGCTGAGGAATTGAACTCAGGGCCTCATGCATGCAAGGCAAGCGCTCTACCACTGAGCCACCTTCCCAGCCCTCCAACTTCTTTTGGTCAGTTATGGGTCTTGAACTCAGGGACTGGGTGCTGTCCCTGAGCTTTTTTCACTCAAGGCTAGCATTCTACTACTTTGAGCCACAGCGCTACTTCCTTGGATATGTCAAAATTTAACCTCCTTTGTACAACTAATTGATGCTAATAAAAAATGTGGGGAAAAAAATCATAAACCAGAACAATCTTTAGGATCAAAACCAGATATCTAAAATGTTCTCACACCATCTCTATGGCACCCTGCACAACTTCTGGTAGATACTAAAGATGTATTTGTTGAATAAATTAACTGTCAAAATAGAGCCTTTCCCCTGGTAGCCGGAAAGGATTATTAAATGTTTTATCTGAAGAATCAGATATCCAAGTTTTTAGCCAAAAAGATTCTGAGCACCCAGGAGCTGGTGGCTCACATTTGTAAGCCTAGCTATTCAGGAGGTTGAGATCTGAGGATCTTGGTTCAAAGCCAACCTAGGCAGGGAAAACTTTGAGACTCTTAAAACTAGAAGTGGTCCTGTGGCTCAAAGTGGTACAGTGCTAGCCTTGAGCAGAAAAGCTCAGGGACCCTTTGACAGATTAAAGAGAGAGAGAGCAGGTGGGGTTAACTGAACCCAGGGCTTCATACATGCTAGGGAAGCACTACCACTAAGTCACATTCCCAGTCCTGCTCACCTCTCTTGTCCAGGCAATTTGCCCCTCAAGTTGTCATACATGCTACAAATTTTGTGCTTCCTTTCTTCAATCAGGACAGGCCGTTCTTCTTCTAGACTTAGGAGATAGCGCCTTTCATAATCCTCCACGTCAAGGAGTAAACTATAGGTCTATGGATGAGACAAAGCAGTCACAGCATGCTAGTTCAGGACCATAGGATATTAGATAAACAACATTACACTTTAGACTATCTGGTCAAGATATAAGAATTGAAATCTCATACAAAACCTGAGAAGGGGAGGGGAGAGGCTCTTCAAAATGCAGATGAAATATTGTGAACATATATAACTATTCCAACATCATTCCTGGTCCCTCCCTGACCTCTAAATTAGCAGTAAAGATAATGAAATGATAGTACTTTCCAATGTTTTCAGCAGACACTAGACTGCAATAGAAACCTTTTATTGCCACTGGTCATCCTTTGTACCAACAAAAATGTTAATAGTTAACTTTACTATAGGGTAATTCACTATCTGAATATACAACTCATTGAAGATACTACTATAATCACTCCACAAAGGTTACATAACTTGCGCCCAAGTCACTGCTTCAGGCTGAAATGGAAAAAGTATGCGCTGCATCCTGGACAATCTGTCCTCTGAACCACTATGTTCCATGGTCTTGCAATGTGATTATATGTGCTTTATAAACAATTTGTTTCTATATATTATTTCATTTTCCTTATACCAAGTGAGTGCCCAATAAATACCTGTGAAGTGGAAAACCACAGGCAGACATATACACACACACACACATACATACATACATACATATATATATATATATGATGTGTGTATGTTTGTGAAAACTTGTGTTTGTGTGTCCTTAACTCAGGATCTGGGTATTGTCCTTGACCATTTTTTTTCCCTCAAGGTTAGCACACTACCACTTGAGCCACAACTCTACTTCCAGGTTTTTGATAGTTAATTATAGGTAAGAGTCTGAAGTGGTTAAATATAGTAAGAGTCTGAAGGACTTTCCTGCTCAGGCTGGCTTTGGACCATGATATTCAGATCACAGCCTCTTGAGTCCAGCTCAGAACAATGCAATTTTTATTCTAATTTTTCTGAGAATTCGGTAAGTGACCTACCCAAAGGTACTCAACTTATAACTGGGTAAGTCTGGGCAAAACCCAGTACTTCCAATTTCAACTGTGGTGTTCTCTCCATGATGCTACTGGCCAAGTATACTGAGATTGTTTCCATTGCGCTCTGGTTAATTTAGGCACTTAAGAATATATTCTTAGCCAGGCGCTGGTGGCTCATGCTACTGAGGAGGCAGAGATCTGAGGATCCTGGTTCGAAGCCACCCCCCGCAGGTAAGTCCATGAGACTCTTATCTCTAATAAACTACTCAGAAAAAGCTAGAAGTGGTGCTGTAGCTCAAGTAGTAGAGTGCTAGCCTTGAGCAGAGAGGCTCAGGGACAGAGGTCAAGCCATGAGTTCAAGCCACAAGATGAACAGAAAAAGAATATATTCTTTATTACAATCACAGAACACTGAGGGGAGGGTTTAAATATGAACAAAGTATATCATATATATTTATGAGAAGAGTATAATGAAATTTCACTGAAACTGTTAAGAAGGGGGGAAGAGGGACAGGTTAAGAGACAGTTAACACAGATGGAGTGAATTTGATCAGTGATCAAAATACATTCATGTATGCATGTAAACATCACAATGAAACCCCTTTATATAATTAATGTCAATTAAAATTAAATACTGATTGCTCATTTTACTTTTTGTTTATACATATGGCAGTTTCCTATTTGAAACTATAGCAAAAAACTCTTAAAACGTACTTTTTCAATTATGACAAGGGTTTTCCTTCTTTTGTCTCGAACCTGTTTTTCTTTTGTCTCCTAAAAAAAAAAAAGACAATATCCAGTATAAATTAATTTCTGCTAAGAACAATTTACCCAGTATGTACCTATAATTTCACTATGAAAATACTGTGACAAGAAAATCTTGACTCTCTTGATAATTAATAATGTAAAAAAAAAAAGAGTTTGGACAAAGGTCCTAGAGTTGACTGAATCAGATCACACTAATTTCACAGGTAAAAGGTAATTATAGAATTCATAGAAGATGAAGATACAGGAAAATTTGAAAAAGCGTAGTAAACAGTATTTTAAACAGCAAACTGGAGTGAATAGGTTCTGTCTATAGCTAGAGGTACCTGGTTAGATTTTTGCCCTCTAGTCCACAAAGCCTGATCTCATCCCAGTGTCACAAAGAACTGGTGATAACCCAGATGTTCTTAAATACACAACTCTGACACTTACATCATCCTCACTCCGGGATGTCACAACAGCATCAATCATTTTTCGAGGATTGTTCACACTAGAGACAGTAAGCTTCCCCAAAGAGCCCTCAAACTGCACTGCAAGGACAAAATAATTTCAATAAAAAACTCAGCAGTATAAGCAGGAAACACTCAAAATTTGTTTTGCTTCGTTCTTTACTCCTGGTTTAACAATTTATTGCAAAATAAAGTTTTTACATATAATTTAAAATAACACTTGTACTCCTCCCCCGCCCAGACAAGGTCTTGCTTTGTATCCTAGGCTGGCTTGAGACTTGCAATCTCCTTGCCTCTACCTCCAGTGTGCTGTGGTTGCAAGCATGCTCCACGGTGCCTTCTTATCAGAATCTACCTTTTCTCCTTTTTATCCTTAGTTTTTGTGCTGGTCCTAGGGTTTGAACTCAGGGCCTGGGGTCTGTCCCTGAACTTTTTTGCTCAAGGCCAGCATTCTACCACTTGAACCACAGCTCCACTTCCAGCTTTTTTTTTTTTTTAAGTGGTTAATTAGAAATAAAGCTTTTGGACTTTTTGCTCTGGCTGGCTTTAAACCACAACCTTTAGATCTCAGCCTCCTGAATACTTAGGATTACAGGCCTGAGCTACCAGCACCCAGCTTATTTATTTTTGTTACAATAGTTATCAAAAGAAAGATCTAAGTTGAAATCCCTTTGTACAACTACTTAAGGATAAAATAAATAAAAAAGAAAAATCTGAAGTGTTTCCTCTGAATAATCAAAATTGTAATAGGTTTAAAAAAATTAGGAGTAAGAAAGGACTTAAAAGATAGCACCTGTCAGGTCATTCATATGCTAAACTTGTCATTTATTAAGGACAGTCCTTTGTAAATCATTTTCAAGCATCTCTACCCATCCATCTATATAAATATATGTTTTTTAAAATCACATCACGTCAGCAACCTCTCCAGTTCCACTTAGCATGGCCAGAGACCTTACCTGGCTTATAGGCATGCTCTAGCCTGGCCACCTGAGGGGTGATGAGCTTGGTGCGTTCCTTTTTAGGGCCATCCCCTTGCATATCTTCAGCAGCAGATAGTTTCTCCAGTTTTTCGAAGTAATTCTAACACAAAAAGTGATTTCAGTTGGGAACTCAAGCACAGACCATGAGTATTTTTTACCCTTAAAAATTTGTACCACTGGTAGTAATACAACTTCAAATCTAGAAACATACTGATCTCTCATTTATTACGTTGCTACAAAGGTACTTATTTAAAAAACAAAAAAACCCTAAAAAGCCAGGGGCTGGGAATGTGGCTTAGTGGTAGAGTGCTTGCCTAGCATGCATGAAGCCCTGGGTTTGATTCCTCAGTACCACATGAACAGCAAAAGCTGCATGTGGCACTGTGGCTCAAGTGGTAGAGTGCTAGCCTTGAGCAAAAAACAGCTCAGAGATGGTGTCCAGGCCTTGAGTTCAAGCTCCAGGACTGGCAAAAAAACCCAAAAACAAAAACAAAAAGGAAAAAAACCAAACCTAACCTTTGGGCTAGGAATGTATCCCAAGGGTAGGATATATTCTTGGTGTGTTCAAGGGCTAGGGTTTCATCCCCCTGACCCCAGCCAAACTTGCCAAGAAAAACCCCAATGTTTGACTTTCAAAAATGCTAATCAAGGAAAATGTCTTCAAAGGTAAAACACCAGTATTTGTAACTATAAGACCCAGGTTACTCTTGTCAAAATGAAAAATGTAGTCTGAGAACACAGAGTTTCAGAGTTTCTTGCATGAAAACAGGGTGGAGTCTGTTCAGTCGATTTTCATGCATTTGAAGATGAAAATCCTACCAATATTTAACTACATCAGTACTTAAGTATTTAACTACAGTATTTACACCAGTATTAAGTATTTAACTAGCTACTAGTTATTATCCTTAAAAGCAGCACCAAGGATTTACCTGGTAATAAAAATCATCCAGGTAGGGGTCAGTGCTTTGCAGCTGCATCATCTGGATTTTAGAGACCCAATCCTTCTCTCGCTGCAACATGAGATTGGCATAAGGATCCTTTCGGAGATGATCTTGGTGACTATTCCGGTGACTTCCTCGATCTCCGGCACCATTGAGATTCCGATGCTGACTGGAAAACAAATGTGTGACTAGTCACTCCAAGGTGAATTAATCATTCTAGCAGAACAGGAATAAAAATGACAGTCAGGCAATACCTTCCTTTGCTTTACTACTACTACTACTGCTGCTACTACTACTACTACTACTACCACCACCTACAAAGATGACAACATAGTTATACAAAGAGGTTACAATTCCTCAAGCCAGGTTTAAGTACAATGCTTCTTGGTCAATGTCATCCTTGCATTCACTCTCCTCTACTTTTCTCCTGCTATTCCTACCCTCGTTACATAGTTTAATTTTTACATAATAAGATTTGGTTATATGTACGTTATATGTGCTCAGAAGGGAAGAACCTTCTTCCCTCCATTCGTGTACCTCCTCATACCTTCCCCCATTGCAAATATGTTCCTGTTTCCTGGTATTCATTGATAAACAGTTCGCTAGTTCAGAGGAGTTCCACCTTTGGACTTCTCCTCTAAGTATACCATCCTTCAGTCAGTTTCTATGTATATTCATAAAATCCTTTGTATGTTATCATGTATGATTATATTTTAATCTAGTTTTTATTAAAAGAGTGAAAAAGAATCAAGTCTTAATAGAAGATAAAAGGGCTATATAATACATGATGAAATAAATAAAAACTAAAATGAGAAGACCTTAACATATGCTGTACTTTCACCTATGGATTTCACTTAAACTACCTAACTTTTCTTCACTTAGGACAATAAACTGAGGCCAAGAGAGATGACAGGAATATTCCTGGTGACAGGAATGAACACAGGTCAATTTTTCTTTTTTTGGTTGGTCGTGGGGCTTGAACTCTGGGCTTGGGCACTGTCCCTGTGCTCTTCAGCTCAAGGCGAGCACTCTACCGCTTGAGCCACAGCACCACTACAGGTCAATTTTTCTTACAGTGCTGGGGATCAAACACAGTGTCTTGTCTGCTCAAGCCAAGCATGAGTAGCACTGAGCTGTATCCCAGTTAGAATACAGGTCAATTTGACTCTACAGTTTATATAATTTTTCTTTAGCTTATTGAAAATAACAAAACATTTCTAACAGATTAAAAACTCCAGCAGACATTACAATAACTAATTACGCACCATCTGGTCTTAATGAAAGACATTTTTTATTTGGTTAAATTTTGATATTTAAAAAGTGCTATCAAAGATATTAAAGATATATTTGTAGGTGGCAGGCCCTCATATATCCCTCTAGATCCCAGTTTCCAGATCCCTTTACATACAGGAAGCATTATTCTGCCTTTGGAATGACTCCTTCCCCAAACGTTTTTGCACTTGTACTACTGTGTATCTCTTTGAATATTATACAGTAGTACTCTGAATGCCTTTACATTATGTTAGTGGAAAGATATAGTACCCCATGCTTCTCCACTCAGAATTATGCTTTTCATATTTATCTGCACTGCTAATGTATTTTGGTATAAAATAAAAAGATCTGTTAGAATGTGGTAGTCACATTTTTAACCTATTATTTCCCAATTCTCATTCAAGAAGCTATACATACTATCCTTTCTTAAAACGACAGTGGTGAGAAACATCAAGTTTTCCTGTCTGATGATTTAATTTTTATTTGCGTATTTCTAACACAAGTGAGCTTTGACATTTATTTTTCCCCCAAAGCGCCACTTGGGTTTCTTCTAACAATCGCATGTTTGGATACATTTTTTTGCTATATAGAGATTCCTTTCCCTACACTTTCTTTTCTTTGCCTCTGTCTCCGAAGTGCTGGGATTATAGGCATGCATATACCATTATTCATAAGCAAATCGTAACACATCAAACAACATGAGTGTTTCTCTATACATTTTGTACTTTTAGGGTCTTGATTAGGAGTTTTACTAGTTTCTACCTTTTCTCCACATAAAAAGCACTCTGCAACATTTTTAAAAGTGAGATGGAATTACACACACATAAAACAATAAAACATAGCTAAAAAAGTCCTCAGTTATAGTTTTCTTATTTTACACAGATGCATAATTATAGATCCATGAAGGTGGACACTTTGTCTATTCTCTTTTGAATAATCTTCAAAACCTAGCAGCTCCTGTACATGGCAGAAGTTGTGTGTGTATATACATATGCTTATGTCTGAATGATGACTGGATAATTTGAAGAAAAAAATAACAGCTGCTAAGTCTACTAAAATTCACATGCAAGGCTGACCACTGTATCTTAAAATTATTTCTGAGTTGAGAATGCAAAGAAAAGGTATGGTTGAGAACTTGGTAAGGAATAGGAAATACTGGCTTAAAAAAAAATCAAGAGCTCAACTTTAATTCTTAGAATCAAAAAATTATAATAAGTTAGAAATTCACTGATAACACCTTGTCATTTAAGCTAGTGGATTGAAAACGTAAAATGAAAGTATTTATGATAACTTTATCAGTAAAATAAGCTCCACACGAAGTAAACTAAGTAAAAAAAGAACCCCATTACTTGTTACACTGTTCAGGAAATCAAGGATTAGGAGGAATACTTACTTCCTATTCTGTTGCTGTCTCTGGTGTAAGAGTCGCCGATGCTGTGGATGAAGGTGAGTTGTATCTGGTCTAAACATTGGGGCCTGAGATCTAAGAAAAAGGCGAGAAGATCCTCAGTGCTCTTATCCTACTGACTTGAAGTTCTCAGTACTGGATAACTTCACATGGTTTCATCCAAGGGACTAAAAATTGTCTACTGTAGACAGACTGAGCCGTATTTCTCATGACTTGTCCCCAAACCAATTCTCAGCTAGTGAGATGATTATGAAGTCTCATTGCATTAGTAGTTCAAAAAGAAAAAGAATGTAGAAGAGACTTCTTTAAATTGGTTTAAGGTATTCAGCTTTAACTATGCAGGAACAACATAAAATATATGTATAACAGTCCATTTTATCTATTTAGTAGGCTAGGGTACCCAGTTATTTGATTAAATCTTGCTTTCAATGTCAAGGTACAAGCAAGATGTGATTAATAACCAGCTGACTTTAAGAAGACGAGTTTATTTCCTGTAACAGGAGTGTTCCTTACCCTTCCATCAGTTTAAGGCCTAAAAAGCCCAATCAGAAAACTCCCAAAAAATTTGGATCAAGACTACAACAAAGAAGCTCTGTCTTTGTCTCCAGCTTTATGGCCCATATACTTCAAACTATGTATTTCAAACTTTTTCTCTTTTTGTGCTGATTCTTAGGCTTGAACTCACTGTCCTTGTGCTTTTATGCTGAAGGCTGATGCTCTATCACTGGCTTTGGCATTGTTAATTGGAGTTAGGAATCTCAAACTTTCTTGCTGTCTTTGAGCCTCTATCCTCAGATCTCAACCTCCTGCGTAGCTAATAGTATAGGCAGGAGCCACCAGCAGCTGGCTTCTTTTTTTTTTTTAAGGTATTTGAAAGCTTAACATATGGAATTTGTTAAATGGTTGTGGTAAAATGGAAAAATAGTTAAAAGGAATCACTATGGCAACAGGGTTGGTACTGTAGGAACCAGCTACCATGCCATGGTTTGGGAGCACAGGGACAAGAGCTAGAATGTATATTCAACTCTTACTGAGTTTCTGGCCTGCTGGCTTGACATATGGAATTTTGACTTTCTACCCTCTACAATCAGGAGTCAATTCCTTAAAATTTGCTAAGCAAGCAAGCACTTTACCACTCGAGCCATAGCTCTAGTATTAACTCTTGAGAATTCTTGAAAGTTTTCTTGAGAACTTTGATATAGTATAGGTATTAGAAGTTTTACCAAAGCAAGAACTAAAATCCTCTTGTTATAAAACAGAAAGAGGGCAGAAGCAAGCAATTTAGCTAATGATGAGATTATCTAACTTCTCACCACTTCTTTTTCTATTATTTCTTCGTGCTAATCCTTAAGTCACCAGCACTGTGTATCTTAGTTTGAAAAAGGCAATTAATTTATAATGTACAAATGAATCACGATGCTTTGAGGGTAATATAAGAAAACCTGGAGACTATCAGATATTTGTTTGTCAACTTGAGGGCTGAGTAATACCTTAAAATATTTGGCTCAGCAATTATCAGGAGACTTTTGCATTATAAAGAGCCTTGGTTGACAATGGATAAACATTAGAATGTTTTCTGTACCTTAGGTTTTGCAGGTGAGGTCCAGGGCCAGGAGGATGCTGCTGTGGAGGGGGTGTAGCAGTGGGTGGAGCATTAAAGAAGGCACGGAAGCCTGGTGCAGGGGGAAGCATCTGCCCAACTCGCCCTTGCAGCAGTTTTGGATTCATGGCAGCCAGTGGGCTACCTACAAACCCAGGGACTCGTGCAAACTGGCTGGGAGACATTCGTCCAGGCTGTAACTATAAAGAGGGATAAGATCTTAGATACAGTAAATCAGAGAATCCCCTGCTTTTTATTCACAGAAAAGTGAACACTGCTTCCATCAATAAGTTGGAAAAAAAGAAAAGGTAGCAGTGAGTAATGGTAAAGGAAGGAGGTGTCATTAATGAACTTCAGCACAGTAAGAAACAATGAGTCCTGTATGCAGAGCTAATCACATGCTTACCTGTGCTCCTCCAAGAAGCTGTGCTCTCTGGAGGGGGCTGAAAACAGGGGGAACGCTAGGAGGAAAAGGATGACCCAAGAGGGAAGAGTTCTAAGGAGAAAAAAAAAATGGGGAAGGGGATGAAAATGACACTCATATTATGAAACCATTAAATCAATATAATAAGAAAACTCACTGGAAATGTAGTATAAACTTGGGTGTAAAAACTCTCCAACTATAGCCGGGCGCTGGTGGCTCATGCCTGTAATCCTAGCTACTCAGGAGGCTGAGATCTGAGGATCGCGGTTCAAAGCCAGCCCGGGCAGGAGAGACCGTGAGACTCCTATCTCCAATAAACCACCAGAAAACCGGAAGTGGCGCTGTAGCTCAAGTGGTAGAGCGCTCGCCTTGAGCTGAAGAGCTGAGGGACAGCGCCCAGGCCCAGAGTTCAAGCCCCACTACCGACCAAAAAAAAAAAAAACTCTCCAACTATAGAGTTTTCCATTTAAGGAGTATAAAGAAGAGTAACTCTAGAAATTATAAAACGCTATAGCCATTGAAAAGGATAAAGAAAGCAGCACTAGTAGGAGCTGAAGTAGCAAGAAATCAGATGATAATAACCACCTGAGATTTTTAAACAAAAGCGAGCTAAGAAGTGAGCCATGTCTTTCTTCTCTTGGGATCCTAAAAGTTCCAGAAGTTCAAAGATAGAGACTATACATGATATGTATAATTTAGGGGATGTTATTAGTATTTAAATGATAGGATCATTTAAATAGTAATCATTTTGTTAGGCTGTAGAGTGACATACCGGGACACCGCAGAGCTGGTTTGGAGACATCCTCTCACCATAGGGAGCAGGATAACGCGGTGGCATCGGGGGCCGAACATGGACAGGCTTCGGACACAAGATCTATTAGGACAAACATACACACAACTACACTCAATGAAATCAGTTTTTCTTCCACCTACACTCCCTCCCCTCAAGTACTAGCAGAGACACAGAACTCTACATACAGCCCTACTTCTAAGCAAGTTGCTATGTCTATGGGTTTAACACAGTACCTTTGGTCAATTCCTCTTACAAATCAAGCCATGTGTCATTTTAGTAAGGAAGACTTAGCTAATTCTCCAGTTATCCCCACCCTTCTGTGCTATCTGAGGGAGGTACCAGCAGACAATGTGACTTGCGAATTTTCTCCAAGAGGAAATATTTTGGCAGTAGTGAGGGAGAAGGAATGATAAGAAAGCTGGAGGATTAACTAAGTCCTATTCTGAAGCCTCTGTGATATGGCCGCCATGCTCAGCAATGTTGTGGTACATTGTGACTCCACCATTTCATAGGATATTGAGCCTAACTAGGCCATACCAACACCACCCTCCCCCCATACCTTCCAAATTGGCCTTCCTTTTCAGCTGCTGGTTTCAGGTGGAGGAAAGTCTATGGAACAGGACTGCACAGGCTCTAGGGAAAGCAGGGATATCTTAAAGGTAAAAAGGGATGTGGACAGTGCTGTGTGTTCCCATACCCCCCAGCTTTCAGTTATCTCTCTGCCCATGTATTAGGCAGCCAGCAAAACACTGAAAAAGGATAAATGCACTATATGTGGTACACTACTCTTTTCTCCCCCAGTTAAAAGGCAGCAGCAGCAACAGCAGCAGCAAAGGTATTAGGGAAGGTGTCTCTTATTTGCACTAACTTCTCTCTAGCTATTTTTCTAATGCCTACCCAAAACTTCCACCCTCCTCCCAGCAATCACTGATTCCCCAGTAATTTTGCCCAGATTCCCAGTATCTTGGGCTGAGTGCCTGTTGATGAGAGGTACCTGTTGGTTGAAGCTGGGTACAGCCATCTGCTTAGGTGGTGTGCCTATGGGGACAGCTCTAACAGGAGGACTCCCAATAACAGGTGAAGTTGATCTTCTTGGTAACGCGCGCTCAGAAAGATCCCGGTCATCTTCTGGGCCCTGGGGGAGCCTCTGAGGCAAGGCATATTCTAAGACAGACACTGTCGGCATTTCCTAGTTGAAGAAGAGTAGTTCCAAAAATAAAATGTCTGAATAATTTCTTGGGCTACCAAAGATATCTTGAAAAATTACTTTAACAATGTTTATCTTTTAAGAATTTGTATTAGATAAGAGTCACTCTTTGGTACGCAGTTCTGATTTTTGGTTAAGTACACAGAATGGAACTGTCACCCCCAATGAAGCTACAGAACAGTTTACCATTAACTCAAATTCCTTTGTATTGTCACTTCATAGTCAGCCCCTTGTGCTATACTCAACCACTGCCAAAAACTTATGCCTAGGCTTTTTAAGGAACATGTAGCATACACCTACCTATGTCAAGCTTTTCCCTAGGGTGTGAGAAAGGGTACATCAACAGGTTCAGCAACATAAGTGCTGGATATAGCAATCCATACCATGTGGGGAAGTAATAAATACCTATACATATACATTCTTAAGACTATGGTAAGAGTATGGTAACAGGAACAGTATGGCAAAGGATGGTAACAGGGAGTAAATTAAAACCTGAGGATATGAGAGATTTTATAAAAAGGAAAAATGTTAATACCTGAGCAAGTAGTGGTCCTCGGATTCGCCTCAGAACTTCAGATCCATCCCAGATACTGGAATTCAGGCTTCCCGGCTGAGGCTATCAAAAAACAAACACATCAAGCCTGGAATAGTGTGGTTCTCTGGGTGACTAATTTGCTATAGAAGAACAAGGTTTCAAAAGAGCCTCCACAATAGGGCTGGGATGTAGCTTAGTGGCAAAGCATTTGCCTAGCAAGTACAACGTGCTGGGTTTGATCCCCAGTACAAACAAAACAACGATCCAAATAAAAGTCTCAACTACTTGGGAATAACATAGTATAGTGCTCTAGAATTCACATTATTCCTTCATCAGAATTGCCGTCATCAGGCAATATATATAATTGATGGCATATATAATTCTCTTATGAAATAGATGAAATAACAAGGTGAAGTTCAATCCTTGATTTTGTCTATTATTAGCTGAACCATTATTAAAGACCCCAAATCAGAATAACTTACTCACTTGTAAAACTGGCCTTGTCTGCACTGCTCTCATGATAGCTGGATCTTCAAGTTCATTTTCAATCACCATCTTACTGAGTCTTTCTGCCAGATTCTCTTCATGGTCACCCAACAAGTCCATTTCATCCCTCTCTCCATTGCCTGTTTGTTCATTAACGGCCACTGGCAGCTTTTCTTCCAACTCGGCCAGCCGCTCATGTGCTTCCTGCCAGTCATCATCTGTAAGATGAAACCATTCATGTTAGAAATATAGCTCCTATAAAAATAAAAGAATTTTGTGACATTCTTCTCTTAACCAAATGATCAATCCAATTACAGAACATAGGTAGAAAGTTAAGTTTCCATCTAGAGACATGAAATAAAGTTTAAACCAGGAGACACAGAACATGGTCTTTTCATTATTATGAGGAAGTAACACTGTACTAGGAAATTCAAATGTTTGGATTAACAACTTAACACATTATCAGTGGTGTCTAATCTGAAACCAATTTCTATCCTAGTGATAAATGTATATTATTATGTTTTGGTTTCAAAGAAAAATAAAACCCCACAGCACTAGCATAGAACTTTTTCTTAACTTGTAACTGCCATGTTTATTATAAACTGTTTATTTCATCCATTCATTTCGTTCAATTAAGCACTGTTTTAGGTACATGGAATCAGTGGTACAATATAGTCAGGGCTTCCACTCTCAGGGAGCCATCATTCAAGCAGCGAAGAGATAGAAAATCACAACCAACAAAAGTCAATGATATACCATACTACAGAGGAAAATTCTGTAAGTTCTGGAGGAAGAAAGGCAGATTGGGAAGGATTGTGTAATGGTATGAGGAGGAAGGGATACTACAAGAGAAGGGAGGCAAAGAGGCAAGATAAAAGTTTATTTAGGGTCTTCTGAACCATTCAAATTGATATGGGGACAGGCTCATGAAAGTTTAAATGTGGTTTTACCTTTTGAAAGAATCACTTTGGCTACAGTGTTGAAAATAGTTTGGAGAGGGGGAAGCGCCAAGCCAATTATGCAGCTACTGAAGTAAACCAAGGGAGACGACTTGTACCAGGGTCAAGCTGTCCTTTATGGCTTTGCTATTCTACTAATAACCTTACTGATACAGCAATAGGAGTTCCATTGTAGCATATATTAAAATCATCAGAATCCTTCATCAGCTTTCTACCTAGACTTACTTCTATCATACCTCACAGTGCAGTTCCTATTATTCCACTTTGCTTTCTTAAAAACTTATAATCCTGCTTCTTTCAGCATTGAAGTGCAGTAATTTCTCCCTCTTCTCAGAAATTCTCCCTAAATAATTCTTTCACGTTCCTTCTAACTTTATCTCGTCTAAACATATGCTTTTTTTAATGAACAAAAAAGTATTCTTCTGTGTATGTTATATATTTGTTCTTACATTACTTAAAAAATTTTAATTCTACAAAATCCAGACAGGAATAAGTAACTACCTTTTTAACAGAAACATTCTGGTTACAAAGAAAATACAAATCTGTTTTTAAAAAAATCTAAGCATTAAATATTTTGTGATGCTTACAAAATATGTCACTTAGAATATAAACGTTTCTCATGTTCACTATGTGAAACTGGCAGAGTTTAACATGTTTCTTTCCCCACCGCCCCCACCTCACTTTTATAGTACTGATATTAAACTCAACACCTTGCAATGTGCTAGACAAGCATTTTATCACCTGAGATAGCGGTTATTTCTATTTATTTATTTAATTTATTGTGCTGGACCTGAGCCTTGAACTCAGGGTCTAGGCACTGTCCCTGAGCTTCTTTTCCTCAGGCCTACCAATTGAGCCTGCTTTAATATGGACTTTCCTGCTTGGGCTGCCTTCAAAACACTGATCCTCAGATCTCAGCCTTTAGAGTCAGTAGGATTTCAGGTGTGAGCCAACAAACAGTGCCCAGCTGTTTCTCTTTATTTAAACACTATAACTACTGATAATACTATCTTTTTTTTTTTAAAGAACTATGATTCTATTCTATTAATAAACCACAATTCAGCTTATTCCATAGTGAAAAAATCTGGATATTTCTGAGTTAAAACAAAATAGAAATAGAAGTTTTTTTAAATTTATTTTTGTTCGTCGTGGGGCCTGAACTCTGGGCCCCAGTGCTGTCCCTCAGCTCTTTAGCTCAAAGCTAGCACTCTACCACTTGAGCCACAGCACCACTTCTGGATTTTTTCTGCTTATATGGTGCTGAGGAATTGAACCCAGGGCCTCATGCATGCAAGGTAAGCACTCTACCACTGAGCCACCTTCCCAGCCCCCAGTTTTTAAATTTTTTTTTTAATGGCAACCTCAGCCCCTAAAAATTATGGTAGCTTTAATAAAGGAAAGAGAAACAGAAAGAGCAGTAATCCTTCCAAGTAGGTGTGGGTTTCTAAAGATTCACCAGACTGTTGTGACATATTGCTAAGTTTACACAAATTTATTTATACTTCTCTTTCAGTTACTCTGTTCTCATCTGTTAAGGATAACAACAGTACCTAACTCACAAGCCTGATGTGAGGACAAATAATATGGAAAATTTAGAATGGTGCCTAGCACGTCATAAGCACCAGGTAAATGTAAGCCTTTATTTTAGAGAATGAGTTGGGACTACCTTAATCCCATTTATTGAGATGGTGCAATTGTTATTATTTTTTAATTTTAAGAAAGATGATATGAGAGCACTCTTACCTAAAATATTCCCTATGTGAAGTTATTATTCCAGTTGCCCACTCTGCAAATTCCAAAGAATCAAACCAAAGCTAAGTATGACATTTTCCCTACTGGCTTACGTTCTCTTTACCAGTTATATATGTGCCTGCTGACTAAGAAAGCAATTTGCTTTTCATAATATTTAAACCAAGATGTTATGAGGAAATACAATGTTCACTTTAAAGCCAGGCATTAGTGGCTCACACATTAATCCTAGATCCTTATTAAGTTGAGATCTAAGGACTGTGGTTTGAAGCCAGTCCAGGCAGGAAAATGTCTGGGATGGCTTCAAACTCTCAAGTAGAATAACTATCTCCTTAACAAGTAAAAAGTCAGAAGTAAAGGTGTGGCTCAAGTAGTAGAGTACCAGCTGAGTTACAAAGCTAAGGACAGCACCCAGGCCCTTTGTTCAAGCTCCAATATTGGCACAAACACACATTTTACTTTACAATTCAAGTATACTACATACTCAATGGAAAGAACTTACCTTTGGAAATGTTTTCTCTATTATGAACTTTGTTGACAAAAGAAGTCCTCCTTAATCACACTTCTGCTTCATGGTAAAGAATAAGCTAACTATATACTACTTTGTTGCCTTTAATATTTACTATCTGTGCTGTGTGTGTGTGTATGTGTGTGTGTGTGTGCGCGCGCACGCCCTGGGGCTTAAACTCAGGGCCTGGGTGCTGTAACTTAGGGTTTGGGTGCTGTCCCTGAGCCTTTTCTGCTCAAGGCTAGTACTCTACCACATCAGCTCCACTTCCAGCTTTTGATAGTTCATTGGAGATACAAGTCTCACAGACTATCTTTCCTGCCTGGCTGGCTTGGAACCACGATTTTCAGATCTCAACCTCAAGCCACTAGTGCCCAGCTACTACCTGTACTTTTACTGCACACTAAAACATTTCAACTTGTATTTCTTTTCTATCACATACAATACAGTTCCATATACTTTAATATCCTTTTAATGGCAGTATTCCAATCTTGTAGGGGAAAAAAAAGGAACGTTGGGTGAACAGGGAGACTTCCCACAGAACTTAAGACTTGAATGAGAAGGCAAGATCTCTTCTGTCCAGAATCAAAACTGAGGGCAGCTATGCTGTCTCATCTTAGTTTATTATCTATAAATCAGTTTCATTAACTTTACTCAAATACTAAAAAATTTGTTGAAAATGACATTCTCTACAGCATTTAACAGAAAGATCTAGAAACAAGTACAGTGTTGGTAGCTTCTATTTTATTCAATAGGTTATTACTGAACTATCTCCTTTAAGTACAATTTCCATGCACAGAAGTTCCATGTGTTTGTAATTCTAGTTTATGCAGCTTTCCCTGTGATAGCCATGAAGAAAGACAAATAGTATTTTCTCATGCCATGCTCCTGGACAACCTCATCTCCTAACCCATGGCTACATTCCAAAAGGTCTTAACTCCCTTCTCTAGTGAGTCTTGCTTCTACTTTCAACATTTCTCTTGCTGCAAAGTTTTAGTTCTGTAGTGAATTTTGTAAATGGCTAACAACAGTAAACTTTTTTCATTTTTGTCAGTTCATTCAACTCTGTGCAATTTTTAACATAAACTTAAGTTGTTGAAAACCACTATCCTTTATGACATTTTAAGACTTTTATTTGGTCTTGACATAGAACATCTTGGGATTACCCACTACTGCTAAATTTCTTCTCCTTTATTAAACTTGGAACATTTGGACAAAAGTGCTGCAGTTCCAAAGAAATCACACATATTAACACACCTCAATGTAAGCACTATTGTTGTTTTCCAAAATCTGACAGCTAAAGCAAGAATATCTCCACTGACTTTATGCAGATATTTATATATGTATACTCTTCATTTTTTTTTATTGTGAAAATACCATACAGAGGGGTTACAATTACATGGGTAAGGTAATGAATACATTTTTTTTTTTTTTGGTTAGTCGTGGGGCTTGAACTACGTGCTTAGTGCTGTGCCTGCGCTCTTTAGCTCAAGGCGAGCATTCTACCGCTTAAGCCACAGTGCCACTTCCAGTTTTCTAGTGGTTTTTCTAGTGGTCTCAAGGATTTTCCTGCCTAGACTGGCTTTGAACCGCGATCCTCAGATCTCAGCCTCCTGAGTAGCTAGGATTACAGGCGTGAGCCACCAGCGCCCGGCTAGGAGTACATTTCTTATCAAGCATTGTTGCCTCCTCCTTTGTTTCCCCTACTCTTCATTTTTTAAAAGTACAAAACTTACGCTAATACTCCACTTGCTTTAACCTTCTTCTAAAGCTTGTTCTCAAACTGATTACGTAAGGTGGCTTCCTAAATTTTTGGTCTTGGGCTTTACAACTCCATGGCTATAAGTTTAGTTTGGCTCTTTTATATTTTCAATTCCTGCAATATTTATATGTAGGAGTGGAAAAAATTTCCATTTGTGCACAATACTTCCCTAACTTATAAAGACTATCACCAATATACTTGGAATAAAAAAGCCTTTTTAAAAAGCTAATGCAGATAAGACAATAGAAATGGTTATACATTCAGTGACTATACTCTGTACCTTTGTAACAGTAAAAAAATTAAAAATACATCTACATACTAGAATCTGATTTGTCTTCTAATTCCTTAGTTTCCCTTACATTGCATGTCTTGCAAACAAAATTTCCCTCATCTAGATTATTTTAAAACTCTGTTAAATGTCTACTTCTCCAAACATTTGAATTCTACTTCTCCGAACATTTGAATTCCTTATAATGGCAACCAGGAACCACAAAGTCATATAGCAGGATGAGACAAGGCTTAAAGAATACCTGCTTTTATAGGTGAGACAAAAAGATCAGCAAGGGGCTGGGAAGGTGGCTCAGTGGTAGAGTGCTTGGCTTGCATACATGAGGCCCTGGGTTCAATTCCTCAGCACCACATAAGCAAAAAGAAAAAAGCCAGAAGTGGCGCTGTGGCTCAAGTGGTAGAGTGCTAGCCTTGAGCTGAAGAGCTGAGGGACAGTGCCCAGGCCCAGAGTTCAAGCCCAAGACCGGACTTAAAAAAAAAAAAAAAAGATCAGCAAGATGAACTATTCTGACTGAAGGATGCACTCACTGTTCTATTAAGATTATGGTGTTACCCCTAGCAAAGCCCTTGTGAAAGTCTAGAGAGCAAGGTGATACCATGAAAGAAGTCACTTACCAACTGCACCTGACCCAAATGTATCATCATTGAATTGATCAATCTCCTCATCTTCCTCTCCCAGGCCTTGAAATGCATCATCATCTTCATCCAGAGGACAATCTTCCAGAGACTGAACAGAGAGAAAGGAATTGAGCTTCAAACTTATATGCTCATTTTCAAAGGCCTAAAAATGTCTACCTTGCCTTTGTAAAGGTAAGCTTTTTGTTTTTGTTGGTCATGGGGCTTGAACTCAGGGCCTGGGCACTGTCCCTGCGTTTTTCTGCTCAAGGCTACTGCTCTACTACTTCGAGCCACAGTGTCACTTCTGGTTTCCTGGTGGTTAATTGGAGATAGAGAGTCTCAGGGACCTTCCTCCCAGGGCTGACTTTGAACCTTGATCATCATCTCAGCTTCCTGAAGAGCTAGAATTACAGGCGTGAGCCACCAGCACTTGGTAAGATTTTTTTTTCCTATCCAATTTTTCTGGCAGTTGGGAGATTTCACTAGCTTCTGTTTCTATTTTCTATTCCTTGTTTCATTTATTTTATCCTCCACTCCTAAAACATGTCCAGTTTTCCTATTTAATAAAAATTCAACAATAGCATATCGTCATGCACCCATTAAATTAGGCGCACACATTCTTCCCACTGCTGGCTGGAATACTGATTACAAGTAAAAAAGGAACACTGTTATCTTGTGTTTCATGTAACTTTCTCAACAAAACTCATACTTGCCTCCTTACATTCAATTTTATTATTGCTTTTAATGCTTTCTCTTAACTTTCTGTCCCCCTTCTGTTTCTTGTAGTTCTAAATTCTCACTGAAAGCTAAGTTCTCTACTACTTATGTGGGACGAGCTCTGATACATCAAGCTCCACTCTTACAAGTATTATAAACATGGGCAACTCATTCTTGTGTGTGTGTGTGTGCCAGTCCTGGGGCTTGAACAAGGGCCTGGGAACTGTCCTTGAGCATTTGTGTTCAAGGCTGGAGCTCTACCATAAAGCCACACACAGTTCCACTTCTGGCTTTTTTGGTAGGTAACAGGAGTAAGAGTTTCACATACTTTCCTACCCAGGCTGGCTTCAAACTGCTTTCCTTAATCTCAGCCTCCGGAGTAACCAGATTTAGAGGTGTGAGCCACCTGGGCCCAGCACAATTAATTTTCTTGATTAACTGATCAGTGCCTTTTGAAGATCTGTTGTGTCTGGAGGCTTGTACTATGTTAGGCTCTGGTCCTCAGTTTCTTAAATCGTATTTCAGGGATACACACCACTTAATTCAGTTTGTTGTGAGGATTAAACAAGTCAAAGATTGTAGACAGCTGAATATAAACAATCTTAAGTGTGTTCTACTTTATTTTCAGGTACAGTGTCTGAGCATGTAGCCCAGGCTGGCCTTGAACTCATGACTGCTACCTCAGCCTCCACAGTGTTGGAATTACAGGTTTGTGTATTTTAAACATTTCCCTCCTCCACCTTAGTTTTATTAATTGACTTATTCTTCCAAGTATTCTTTTTCTCTCAACAACTTCTTCCCACTGTGTCTCATCGTTCTTTCTCCCCACTTACTAGACATTATGGTAGTGGCTCAGCTATCATGTATACCTGTCCTAATTCCACACTCTTAGTATGGACTGATTTGTAATAGATCTTGCCTGGCTAGAGCCTTTCTACCCATCCTAAAAATCTCTCATGCTAACAGAAAGCAGACGTGGGACTGGTCCCTAAATCAGAGGCCACTAGCAGCCTTATACTCTTCCAAACCATAAAGATCTACCTAACCAAATCACTGCTCTCAAAACCAAACCCAAAATCCTGAAATGACTCAGGGATAACCGAGAGCCGTCCCCAATGATTTTGCAAACGGGAGAAAACTCTCACGTTCAGAGATTCAGCGTCACTCAAGGTCACAGAGTCTCGGTGACAGGGTCAAGAACCTGCTGCCTTCCCAAGGACAGCACCCCCCAAAAACCCCCACATCTTCCCTGGTCCTGAAGGAACTTCTCCTGGACACGCCCCCTCCCAACCCTTCAGCTCGCCAGCCGTCTAGCCCGAGAGTCAAAGGACACCCCAGCCACCCCGCAGGCCTCCTGGGTGTGTGGGCGTGCGCGTGCGTGGGAAGCTGGGGAGGGGGCGTCCGGGCACTGGGCGGGAAACGGAGCGACGGGCATCCAGGTAAGGTCTCCCTCAAGGAAAGCCACCGGGCAGGAGCCCGCGTTGTGCGCGGGCCGGCCGGCCCCGCTCCGAGGGAGGGCGTGGTGGGGTGTGTGGCCGGACCGTGGCACTTAACGGGCCCTGCGCACCCCAACACCGAGGCCAACTTTCCCCAGCCACAGCCGCTCCGCCCGGCAGTCCCGCCACCTGCAGACCGCTCGCCGGCTCCGCGGACCGTGAGCCCCAGGCCGGCGTCGCCCCCCGCGCTCCCCCGGTTCCCACGGGCCCCGGCCTCTCTCCCTGCCGCTCCCCCCCCACCCACCCCACGCACGCCCGGAGCACGGGACCGGCGCGCCCGCGGGCAGGAGAGGCAAAGGGGCGCGTGAGGCGTGAGGGAGGGGCCACTTCCGGTCGCCACACTCACCTCGTAGCGGAACATTCTTGGGGAAGGGGGGAGGGAGCGGGGAGGGGAGCGGGGGGAGGGAGGGGAGAAGCGCCGACGCTCCGGTCTCCTCGGCGCGCGCGGGTCCTCCACCGGCTCGCGACCCCTGGCCGCCGCCGTACGCCGGAGCGTGCGTGGGAACGTGCGCAGGCGCAGTTCGGGGAGGGCGGCCGCCCCGTTTGGCGCCTGACGGCGGCGGCGGCGGCAACGACAGCAGCGGAGGCTGCGCGGAGGACAGATTTGGCGTGCGGCTTCCTAGAGTCCGCGGCGAGAAGGAGGTCCCGTGGAGAGCGACTGCGCATGCGCGCCCGCGGGTGGTGGGGAGGGGGTGGGCGGGGGAGGCGTCCCGGCTCCGGGAACCTCGCAGCTCCGCCTTCCGGCTTCTCCCTCCGCCCGCCGCCCGCTGGGCGCTGGGCTGCGAGTCGCCCGGCCAGTCACGAGTTCTCCGTCATCGCCGGGGCGGGGAGAAGCCCGGGGCCGGTCCCACGCTGTGCGCTTTGGGGTCCGGGCTGAGCCGGGCGCGGGAGTCCTGGGCGGCTCTCGGGGTGGTTTCCTCTCTGGCGCTCACGTCCCGCACTGCTGTCCGTGGTACCGGGGGGGGGGGGTCGGCACCCGAGGCTCCTGGCGGGGAAAGCACACACATCCCACGTCGGGTGCTGCCTGCGTCGGGTGGCAGGTGACCGCGCCGGGCCCGGGACAGGTGGCCGCTGTTCCCACCAGGCCCGGCCCGGCGGGGCCGTGACTCACCCGCCTCCCAGCCGCGCCCCAGCCCGCTTCGTGCTGTGTTCGGTGCTAAGCCGAAGGCCCCGGCCGGGAGGTATTTTTAGGCACCCGGCGCCCCGAGGCCCGGGCCGGGCTGGGCGGGGACCTCAGCCGGGGTGCGCCCCCGCGTGACCCCACCTTTGTACCGTGACTTTGCACCGGGGTGCCAACCTCTACACCCCAGTGGCTGAAGTTCTGGTGGTGGGTCACCTCCTGGAACATCGCGCGTCCTCCCCAGCGGGTTTGACCCCACTGAATCCCCCCTCCACCCCTCCCCCCGCCTCCTTCCTCCCTCTCTTCTCCTCCTCTCCCTTCTCCTCTCTTCCCTTTTCTCTCCCTTCTCTCCATTCCTCTCTCCTCTTTCTTCTTCTCTCCCTTTTAAATTGTGCCAGCAGAAAGTATTCTTTTTATTTTACCTTAATTTTCTGACCTTTTTAGTTATCTTTAGTTGTAATGAGGCCATTCAACCTGTCAGTTTGAGTTCAGTGCATCTGGATCAGTAGCACCCCCCCCCTTTTTAAAAATCATTCCCATCCCCACCCCTCCATCTCAGCCCCTGGCATAGCTATATGCCTGGAGGACTGTGACTGTATTTTTCCCTTCCCCACCTCCAAGAAGTTATTCTTAGGAGTTCCACTACCCCTTCTCTCCCCCGTGTGTGAAAAATGCAGCCTCGCCTAAGAACGGCATACTGTAAATTCCTCACGTGTCAGTGTGAGTGCATTCATCAGGGCTTGCGTAGTGGAAACGCAGGATTTGAAAATAGAAAGTCTGGATGGCAAGCAGTGGGCTGTCCACTGGTAGTGAGACATCCACTAGGTCACTGGGACTTAGTGGCTTTGGGAAAGTGGAACAGAGTGATTCGGGGATAATGCAGCTGCTGCTAATAATGATGGTAATGATTGAAAGCTGAATCATTCCTTACAACTCACCCGGAGAGGTAGGCACTAATACTTTCTCCAGTTTATAGAAGAGGAACCTGAGTGTTGGACACCTTAAATAATTTGCTTTAAGTCAATGGCAAATTTAGAAGTTGGCAGATGAGGACTTTCTAAAACCCAATCTCTTAATCACAGTGACAAAGTACAAAAAGCTAATAATTGCTTGGTTCAGTCTTCAGCTTTAAAGAAAGGAGCAGGTCAGGGATAAGATGATTATTTTTCAAGTATGTGTGCAATATAAGAAATATCAGAGCGGGGTGCCAGTGACTCATGCCTGTAATCCTAGCCACTCAGGAGGCTGAGGTCTGAATTTCACAGTTCAAAGCCAGCTTATCTTATCTCCAGTGAACCACCAGAAAACCGGAAATGAAGCTGTGGCTCTAGTGGGAGAGCACTAGCCTTGAGCTGAAGAGCTCAGGGACAGTGCTCAGGCCCAGTCAGGTGCTGGGTGACATCCTCAACGTTTTTTTTTTAACCATCACCAAAGTATTAATGTCTTGTAGACCAGGAGTTGACAAACCATGGCCCACAGGTGCATCTGGCCCAGCCATCTATTTTTATAAGGCAATATATTCACAGTTTATTTACACATTGTGTTTGGTTGCTATGTATTAAGTTACTTTTGCATCTCTGTGACCAAAGTACCGGAGAGAACTGAAAAGAAGGAAAGATGTGTATTAAAACTTACAGTTTCAGAAGGCTCAGTCCATGTGTGGTCTCATGCTGGGGTAGATTTTCCTGGGGGGCAGTGGGGAGGACAATGCAGTGGAGGCAGTTCTTCACCCCAAAGACAACTAGAAGCAGAGCAAAAAGTAAATGCAGTGAGAGGCTGGGGCAATAAATAGCCCCCAAAGCCACACCCTCAGTGACCTACTTCCTCCTACTAGGCTCCGCCTCCTGACCTTTTCCAACTTCCTGTTTTAATTTTTATGATTCTGGTCCTAGGGCTTGAACTCAGGGTCTGGGTGTTGCCCTTGAGCCACAGCTCCACTTCCAACTTTTTTTGGGTGGTTAGTCTCATGGACTTTTGCGCCTGGGCTGGCTTTGAACTGTGATCTTCAATCTCTGTCTCCTGAGTAGTAGTAGTGGTATAAACATGCATAGGTATTTAGGCTTTTTCCACCTTCTAATGAAGCTCTCATCTGTTGACTAGTTCAGAGCCCTATCTAATTAGGTTTCTAGAGGAGTGTGTTGCTTTTCTCTTAAATGTTTCTTAATTTTTCAGGTTGCCAAGATGCCCTCATGTATTAAAAGACAAGAGTTGGTAATTACAAATTAGTAGCTTGCTAAGTGTGAGAAACACTTAGTATCTGGCCCTTCACAGGAAGAATTGGCTCAACCGGTTGAGCCATATTTTCTGATCATTATGTTAGAAGTAATCAGTCAAATAAATACATAAAATATGATTTTAGCTATGGGACGAAGGTGAGAGGAATGAAGAAAAAATTCATTGCAGCCAGGTGTGACAATGCCATAGGGAATTTCAGAGCAGTTGATCAATAAGGAGTTGGGGAGCAGGGAAAGACAAGGGAATAGAGGGGGTTATTCTGATAAAAACATACTGGGCCAGGTCCAGTGGCCCATGCCTGTATTTTTATCTACTCAGGAGGCTGAGGTCTGAGGATCGAGGTTCAAAGCCAGTCTGGGTAGAAAAGTTTGTGAGACTCTTATTGACCATCAAAAAGTTGGAATGTGGCTCAAGTAATGGAGTGCTGGCCTTGAGCTAAAAAACCTCAGGGACAGCTAAGCGCTGGTGGCTCATACCTGTAATCCTAGCTATTGAGGAGGATCTCGGTTCAAAACCAGCTCAGGCAGATAAGTCTGTGAGACTCTTATCTTCAGTTTACACCCAAAAAGATAAAGTGGAGCAGTGGCTCAAGTGATAAAGTGCTAGCCTTGAGGAGAAAAGCTCAGGGACAGTATCTAGGCTATGAGTTCAAGACCAAGTACCTGTGCACATGCACATACATACACAGTACAAGCACAGCTGAAATACTGCACTTACTACAGTTAACAATACACACTGAAAAACAGTGAATGAAAGGAAAGTATAACAGGAGTGTAGAAGGTGAATGATGAGGAATATAGTTGAAGTAGTTTATTTGGATGTGTGAAAATAGAACAATAAAACCTATTAAGATGGTCTTAGAAATGGAGAGAGAAGTAAGGGAGTGAAGGAGTTTATTAGGATACATTGTATGCATTTATGGAAATGTCACAATCCTGCCTTGTATAACTAATGTATGTTAATCATTTAAGAAACAATTTCATGTTTTTCAGAAATGGAAAATCACTATCTAATGTTTTATCCCAAAAGCAATCTAATTAAGAAAACAATGGAAAACAGAAAATATTTTGAACTGAATGATCAACATTTTAATGTATCAAGACTAATATATCTAGAGCAGTTTATATCAGAAAGTCAGTAATACTGCATATAAGTGAATTAGAAAGCCAGGTGCCAATGGCTCACACCTGTCATCCTAGGTACTCAGGAGTTTGAGATCTGAGGATTGAGGTTTGAAGCCAGCCTAGGCAGGAAACTCCATGAGACTCTTATCTATAATTAATCACAGAAAAAAGTTGGAAGCAGAGCTGTGGCTCAAATTGTAGAACTCTACCTTTGAAAACAGAAACTCAGGGACAGCTCCCAGGCCCAGAGTTCAAGTCCCAGGACTGGCAAAAAAGCTACAAAAAACAAATGAATTAGAAAATACTAAGGGAAGTATAAGGAATCATTGCAGAGCAGACATAAACACAAAAACAAAGTGTAATAGGCAGTATAAAACAAATTCCCTCTTACACGATATTTTTGGGAGGGAGATTGAGTTTTGTTTTGTTTTTTGTTTTTGTTTTTTGGGGTCCGGTCGTGGGGCCTGAACTCTGGGCCTGGGTGCTGTCCCTCAGCTCTTCAGCTCAAGGCTATAGCGTGCTACCACTTGAGACACAGCGTCACTTCCGGCTTTTTTCTTTTTGCTTATGTGGTGCTGAGGAATCGAACCCAGGGCCTCAGGCATGCAAGGCAAGCGCTCTACCACTGAGCCACCTTCCCAGCCCCGAGTTTTCTTTTTAAGTATCAGAAAACTGGTACTTCAAGGTTGCAGGGGGGGATATGTGTTAAATGAGGGTTGATGAAGAGAGGAAGGGGGAAAACGCAGTTACACTATTCAACTTTATGCCACTTCTTTTCCTTGTCTGCTCTCTCCAGTTGGAAATAACCAACCATAGGTTCTGACTACACATTCTTTTTCTTTTTTCCAAGTTGTAGTGGAAAGCACATGTGCCATGGCTCAGGTGGTAGAGCTCCTGAGTTACATGCATGAGGCCCTTAGTTCAAACCCTACCACTGCCAGAACAAACAAGCAAAACCAAACTGACACAGAGCCACTGAAAAACCACAGAACTGATGGTTGTCAGTTTGACTGGATTAATAAATACCTAGGAG